CACACAACTAAATCTTTACATCCCTAAGGCCAGCTGGGTGGTGGTGGTGCACACCTCTAATCCCAGCGCTAGGGAGGCGGAGGCAGGCAGAGCTCTGGATTTCACATGGTGAGAGAGCAGACTCCAACCAAGTTGCCCTCTGACCTACACATGTATGCCCCCCCACCCACAAAATAAGTAACTATAGTAAATATTTTTATTAAAACAGAAGGTATTGACTCAGTCAGTGATCAGCTGTGACCACACAGGCCCAGTGCAATGGCTCTGTGAGTGAAGGCACTTGTTGCCAAGCCTGATTAAAGCTCCAGGATCCACACAGTAGAGGGAAATGACTCCTTAAAGTTGTCCTCTTGAGGGCCACAAGCACACACACAGAATTGTCTCCTACGTGTCACTCTGGCCCTTTTTGAGAAGCAGCCCACTTTGATGTCTATTGAAACTGCCCCAGCTCATCTTAATGTGTATTCGCCAGCCATTTGTGGCTCATACCTCTAATCCCAGCACTCAGGAGGCAGAGGCAGGTGGATGTCTGTGTTCAAGGCCAGCCTTATCTCTTATTGAACTTGGGGCTAAGCTAGTACTCATCAAACCCTAACAATCCCTTCTCCCCAAAGGCACTGGAGTTGTGTCTATAGATGCTGTGGATTTGAACTCAGGCCCACAGCAAGTGCTCTTACTGCTGAGCCACTTTCCTGGCCCAAGCTTACACCTTCACCAGTAGCCAGAACACTTAAACGCAGGATTCCTAGGGGCTGCACCACTGGCTCCGAGCAGCTGGCTTCAGTAGTTCATGAAGATGGACTGGGATACCAGAGTGCTTTCCCTGTCACTTCATCCACAGGCTTCAGAAAGGCGTTTCTCCTGAATTACAATTTTTCCATCATCGTAATTCTGAGTAGATCCCACCACTGTAGAAACGGGGGACCTGGGTCTGCAAGATTTGGGGAGATGGCTCACTGGGAATGTGCCTGCTTGCACAGCCCCTCGGCACACGCAGACTTGAAGCTGAGCAGGTATCCGAGGAGGAGGTAAGAGGCTGGAGGCTCAGCTTGCTTACTGCACACGGCCCTGGGCTCTGTCCCCAGCACCAGTATTTCCACGGAGGAGGTAAGGGGCTGAAGGCTGAGCTTGCTTACTGCACACGGCCCTGGGCTGTCCCCAGCACCAGTATTTCCACGGAGGAGGTAAGGGGCTGAAGGCTCAGCTTGCTTACTGCACAAGGCCCTGGGCTCTGTCCCCAGCACCAGTATTTCCACGGAGGAGGTAAGGGGCTGAAGGCTCAGCTTGCTTACTGCACAAGGCCCTGGGCTGTCCCCAGCACCAGTATTTTTTTGTAGAGAGGCTCCATGTTGTGTAGAATGGTGTCACAGTTGTGAGCTCTGGCAATCGCCCTGCCTCTGCCTCCAGAAAACTGGGACTGCAGGGTTCCACCAGTGCATGCCACCCAGTTCTGTAATGGGAGCATTTAACTTCCAGCCTGGACGCTCTCCCAGGGCCCGGGCTAGCGGCTTGGACAGCGGCTGAGAGGAAAATAAACCTGTGTTCCTCTCGCAGCTCTTTATTCTCCAAGAAAGGAGGCCTTGTTTTTATACCCGATACAGATAAATGAAGAGTTCTGACAGTGGCAAGGATATGGGCATGCATATCCCCTAGAACCAGGAAGGCAGACAAAACTCTAGATAGGCCAGGCGGCTCATGTCTCAGCAGGGACATGATTCAAGAAGCTTCTCTGCAAAACTCAAGAGGTGGGGGACGGGTTAAATGGAATAAGGGGCTTATTATGGCTAAGAAGGGAGAAAAAGTGTTGGTGCAGAAAGTTCCATTTATGCAGTTAGTAAACCTAGAAGTCTATAATTAATAACTGTAAGAAAGGAAGAAATGCTGTGTATGTATAGGTTGGATTTTGTTCTTGCTTTTCTGAAAACAGCATTTGCAATGGCCATGGCAACCAGCACAAGCTGTGGAAGGAAAATGGGCCCTTAATCCATATGAGCATTTTCGCCGATTACTAGTGAACCCTGGATCAAAGGGTGAACTTACAAGATCGGAAGGCTGCAGCTTCCAGCTGAGCCAGCAGGCTAGTAGGCTGTGCTAAGCTGAGCTGCCTGGAATCAGCTCTACCCAGTCCTGCTTGTGGGTGGGGCAGATATTTGCTGTGTCCTGTCTTTTGAGGCTCTGCATGTGGTCTATTTGCAAAGCTCCTCTCCTTGCAGGGGGTGGGGAGTACCCTGCTGTAAGTGATCATTGTAGGGAGCTAGCTTCTAAATTCTGTAGATTCGACGATGAGGACAACAGACTGGGAATATTTCCACCCAGGGCCCCTTGGTCATCCAGTTCACCGGTATCTAATAACTGACTGATACACCGCTGGGGTTTATTATTATTGCTATATTGTGGACTTTTCGAGTCAGGGTTACACTGCTGTGGTTTTTGGGGACAAATCCCACTATGGAAAAGGGGGAGCGCTATTGTTTCACAGGAATGACAGTGGCTGTTCTAAAGGCAGGTATCCTCAAGGCTTTGCAAACTCGGTTTCCCTGCAGTGGGTTGCGACTGGTGGCGATTCCTGTGGGTTAGCCTGGTGAATATGTCATCTGGAATCTTACCGTATGGTCTTGTGGGCCACAGCCAAGTTTGGGAGCAGCTAAGCTCTTGAATGGAACACTGCTCAGCACAAGTTTCTCGTACCTCTAACTACAGCTCCAGGGGACCTGACACCCTCTTCTGGCCTCTGTAAGCAACTGCACACAGAAATACAACAGTTAAAATAGAGTTAGGATGGCCTGGAGAACACTGCTGAGGCAGCTTTGAGGCAAAGGAGGGCAGCTTCCGCGTTAACCCGCGTTTGCCTTCAGAGGTTCATTTAGGGTGCATGATGGTTGGGAGGGGCAGGGAAAGAGGTTGCTGCTCTCTCTTCCTGCACCACCTCAGTGAAGCACCAATCACCACTGGGGGCTGCCCTTTCTTTACTAGGCGCCACTAGCCAGGGACCTCCCTAGCCAGGGACAGTGTTATGAGCTCGAGGCATGTCTCTGCTGCTGGTTTTTTTTTTTTTTTCGGTTTTGGAGACAGGGTTTCTCTGTGGCTTTGGAGCCTGTCCTGGAACTAGCTCTGAAGACCAGGCTGGTCTCGAACTCACAGAGCTCCGCCTGCCTCTGCCTCCCGAGTGCTGGGATTAAAGGCGCCACTATGTCTCTTCTTTTGGTACTGCTTCACACAGGCTAAGCACAGCACTCCTCCTGAGGTGCAGAGTGCCTGTATTTTGTGTCAAAAGGGGGCAATGTCAAGTCTCCAAGCTGTTCTAGGTATGTGAAAAAAACATTTCAATGTTTAAAAAGCTTTCAGGTTTGCCCTGCCGCAAACAAGAATAAATCAAATCTACTACTTGTTCAAAGTCCAGGTCATACAATTTTCTCTGTGTTTACAAAATCAAGTTCTCACAAATGTAACTTGTTTTGAAGATCATGAGAGAAGCTTTGGAGAAATAACAAAGGCCAGGGGAAGGGAGGTAGCCAGCCGGCAGAGCATTTGCTTGGCAAGCAAAAGCCCAAGCTCAGTCAAGGCCATCATAAAAGACAGTGCCAGACTGTCCTCTGATTTTAGACAAGAACAAAGCAGACATGTTTCTACTTAAGGGGGTACTTTGACATGATGCATATGGAGTGTACAGGGCACAGCAGTCATGACCAGCTTCTGTATACTGCAAGAACTCCAAATACCACCTCTTAGAGGCAAAACTGATTTCTGTAACCCTGCCTACCAGAGACTACTGCAAAATCATTAAGCAAAAAAAAAAAAAGTTTTAAAAGTTTAAGAATAGAGTTTAAGTATATATTTAAACCACACAAGGAAACAAAAAGGCAGTAAATAATAAATAATAATACCATGGTAACAGTTTATGGACATACCTAACATAAGCACGCACCTATGTCTAATAAAAATTTAACATAGGCTTTACACACATCTATACAAATATATATATATATACACACACACACACACATATATATATATATACACGCACACACACATGACATGTGTGTGTGTATGATATATCTATAGGAGATAAAACATGAAGAAGCTGGGCGGTGGTAGCATATGCTCCTAATCTCACCACTCTAGAGAGAGGCAGGTAGAGCTCTGTAAGTTTGAAGACAGCTGGTTTACAAAGCAAGTTATCAGGGTTATACAGAGAAACTGTCTCAAAAAACAAAACAAAAAAAAATCCATGGAGGCCGGGCATTGGCGGTGCATGCCTTTAACCCCAGCACTCGGGAGGCAGAGGCAGGTGGGTCCCTATGAGTTTGAGACCAGTCTGGTCTACAAGAGCTAGTTCCAGGACAGCCTCCAAAGCCACAGAGAAACCTGTCTCCAAAGACCAGAACAAAAAGGGAAAACTTTCTCAAAGCATAGAAACAATGAAGAAAGAACATCCACAGTCCTCATAAAAACATGCTTGCTGCTGGGCAGTGGTGGTGCTCACCTCTAATTCCAGCATTGGGAGGCAGAAGCAGGTGTACCGATGAGTTCAAGGACAGCCACATCTGCTACACAGAGAAATCCTGTCTTGAACTACTGGCCAACACAAAAAATACCCAAAACAGCAAAAACAAACAAACAACCCCCCCAAACCAAACCGTCCCCCAAAAATGATACTTAGCAAGATAAAATTCATCTTGGCCCCCAAATGTAAGCACTGAAGCTACCACAAATACTGACAGCTGGTATGAATTCTAAATTACTTAATTCATTTCTGTTCTTTTTCAATCTCTCTAACCTAAGGCACGATCTCTCTACTCAAAGGCACATGTTCACTTAATATGAGCACTTAGAAACAGTCACACCACACACTGCACAGCTATCTATGTATTTTAGCAAAGTTGGTATGACACACAGCACTGGCTCCTCTGAAACCCCAGTCAGTGCTCTGTGTTTTTGATCCCAAGGAACTCCTTTTAAAGAAGTCCTCAGTTGAGAAGAACACAAATGTAAAAAGCGGATACATTTCAAGATTATAAAAATTGGTTTATTGTAAAAGAAATTCAAGAATAACCAGTTAAATTCTTATCCGCGTGCTACCCACTACAGCCAGGAAGCATTAAACACTTTTACATCAGCAAGGACACAACAAGAAAGGCGACATCGAGGCCGTGATTCCGGTAGGGGAAGGGTGCTCAGGTCCCCGCAGTCAGCACAATGGGTGTGGTATGGCCAGAGAGCTGTCAGGCACCGAGGGCTGCTGGACACTGAGGTATTACCAGGCAGATGATCTCCAGGGAAAGAAGATGGCACACCCCACTTCGTGGGCGAGCTTAAGCAACTCAAAGTTTAAGAACAACTTCTTTACTGATAGCAAGACGTGAGCTAAGTCTTTACTGCTGAGAAAGAAGTTCATAAAAGCCAGCCTCAGCGGCCCACCTTCCCACCCTCCAGCACACCAGCGCCAGTCTGGACATACTGAGGATGCAGTCTTACTCTGCGGCTCCCTGGCAAATTGTAGGCCTTCACCGGTGCACACTCAGCACACACTACTGAATTAGAACAGAATTTCATGTTTGTTCTAAAGTAAATCCTCCTGGTGGCCATTTCCCCAGACCTAATTCAAGGGTGAATCTTCAGCCAGTTTCTTAGTAAAAGCCTTAGGGTCGATGGCTAAGAGTGACTATGAATCATGCATAACACACTGGTTCTGACTACGAAACATCATGTAGGACACACTGATTGCATTTTCTGAGCACTCAAAGTACTGAATATGAATAAAACTTCACTACTTCCACCCCTGTGCTACACTAAATCAAAGCGCCAACAGATTCCCACCTTCCTAAGCTGAGGCTTTCCACAGCAGCTTTAGCCTGGGAAAGAATGGTCTTTTTTTTTTTTTTTTTCTTGTTTGTTTGTTTGCTCATTAAAAACCCTTGAAAATAAGGGATTCTTCTAAAAGCATTCAAAGACCCTTAAATGACAGAGGTGCTAGCTGGTGCCACTACAATTCATAACCAACTATTACACGTCATAGCTTATACTGAAAAAGTTAATTCATGCTTACTTTGTTCCTTTAAAAAATACTCTTTGGAAGCCATCATTACTCCTGAAGACACATACTCTAGGAATCTCTCTTGTAAAGATAAAGGCATACTCATCTCTAGCTCTTTGCTAAGTTCAACTACCCCCACACATTTACTAGTCTGATCACTTTACCAGCCAACCCATGACCTCACAGCCTTCTACACACTCCCCCCACCCCCCAGAGTCCATTCAGCAGAAAGGTGTGAGCAGGCCTTGTAAGAATGACCTTGTAGGTGACACCCAATCTGCCCTTCACTGTGATCATGACAAATGACAACTGAAGTACCTGAGTTCACATCCAAAACCGAGGCGAAGGCAAAGGCAGGCCCTGCCCCGAAAGCTCACTCCTGCTCAGGGACTGCCCAATGCGAACTGGCCCAGGGGAGTGAGGCCGCTTGTTTGCCTCGATCCCAGTCACCAAAGTCTACAGAGGGCAAGAGAGCTCCTCTAGGCTTCACCACAAGAGCCCTTTCTAGAACACTGCCCTACCTTGAACACCTACAGGTTGCCGACAAGAATTTAAACTATTTGTGAAACAAACTACTAGTCATGTATTCTAAATGCGTATGCTCAAGGCTGCCATTTAAAAATAAAATGGAAAGGAGGGAAACCTTTAAAAAGATACATTCTGCTATCAGACTACCATAGACATTATAAGTGTGTGTACATACGTAGAAATGAGAGAACCAAGATTTAAATAAGATGGAAAAAAACCAGGAAATACAGATTTCCTGCCCCCCCCAAAGAATAGTATTACCCACCCAAGCTATAGCCATAAACAACTTTACTAATTTGCCTACATTCCAACAAAACCAATCACCTAAGAAAGAAAGGATGAAAAAAAGGAAAGAAGGAAGACCAACGGCACCCACAAAAATACCCACTCAAACCTAGCCTAGAGTACGTGGCAATAATTAAAATATTTCTATGGAAACTGTCTCATGCCTTATAAGCCTCTAAAATAAAATCCAGGTCATCATGTGACTAATGGTGTCACTAACGAAGAAATAAAAAGTCCACCAATCTTCCGAGATCTCCCCATCGGCACTGAGTACTTGACATCAGATGCCGTCCATGTTTTTGGCTTGCTGGACCAGAGGGCCAAAGGCAGCAGAAGAAATCACCTCTTGACAAATGCTCTCACACGAAGCATTTCAGTTCCCAGTCTGAGTGTTCAGTTAAAGTGATGTGTGAAGACACCACTGGGCAAAAGGAAGAACATCCATCACCTAAACAGGATATCCCCCAGCAACCCTAGAGAACAGTAGTTATTAGAGCAAAAGAAACCAAAGGGGTTTTGTTTTGTGTGGTTCTGATTCTTCAGGGCGGGCTGTGAACAGGTCAGCAACATTAACAGCAGCAATGGGCAGAGAGCAGAACAGTGGATGGAAGATCCCTGCTGGACATTTGTTCATTTGTTTCCTGTGTTAGCCAGAGACTCGAGCACCGGCTTATCTCAATTTCAGGGATGCACATCTTAGGCTCCGTGGATCCTTCCCAGACTCGGAGTGGCTTCCTGGCAGCTCTATAACCATGTGAGAAAGCTTTCTTTATCTAGCTTGGTGGCAGCCAGCACAGACTCCATGTCATTGAGGATGTCGGAACTCAGTGCTTCCTGTAGGCTGGGCATGAGCTCCTCCCCTTCTATGTTCATCCCATCTCCTTCCAGTGTCCCAAGGTCCACATTCGTCCCAGGGATGGCTTCAAGGTAGTCTGGGAAACGACTCTGCTGTGACGGCAGGGTGCTTTGGTTGATAGTGTCACCTAGTTTTGGGGAGGGGGAAACAAGAGTGTTTGTGAAAAGTACAGAGCTGCACTGTATGAACAGAGACTCAAGGAAGCACCCCGAATCTACCTTAAAAACCACACAGTCCCGGTAATACCAAGTTTGCATGTGCCTCACCATTTCAGACACGTAACGTTCAGCCTGGCTGCTCATTACAAAGTGTAACAAGCAGGACGGAAATGCCCTTGGAAAGCTGCACGCAGCACGCAGAAAGATTAAGATGGAGGGTCTCTCCTCTCAGATGCACTCTGGGACAAGAGCACCAGGGACAAAACAAGTTCTCAAAAGCCTGTCTCCATGCATCAGATAAGAGAGGCCATGAATGGCTGGAGAGGTGGGGCTCAGAGGTTAAGAGCACTGGCTGCTCTTCCAAAGGTCCCGAGTTCAATTCCCAGCAACCACATGATGGCTCACAACCATCTGTAATGGGATCTGGCGCCCTCTTCTGGTGTGTCGGAAGAACACTGTATACATAATTAAAAGAGAGAGAGGTGTGAAGATCCTCTACACTTTGGAGAGAAGTGCCCATCCTGTTATTTCCTCACCCTTCCAAGGCCCGTGTGTGTGTGTGTGTGTGTGTGTGTGTGTGTGTGTGTGTGTGTGTGTGTGTGTGTGTGTGTGTGTGTCTTAGCTCATCAACACCTCTACAACTATTTCAACAATAAAACCAGTGGGCTTTACCCTAAACCTCCCCATATCTGGCTTCCCAGCCTAGCCCTGTAAACTTTAAATACCTTAGATGAACTACAAATATTAAGAGAAAAGAGACACAATGGGCCACATAAAAGTAAAACGAGAGACTTCTAATAGCCCCCCAACTAACATGTTAACACAACAGGCATCAGAAGACGTGCCTGTCTGAAATCTCTGCACTCTGGAGGCCCTGTAGGAGGGTAACAAGGCTTGCATGGGCAATGCAGCAAGACCTCACCTCAAGAAAGAAAAGGAAAACCCAGTGTTTGCCATAATCCCAGCACTGCAGGCAGGGCCTCTGTGAGCTCCAGACCACACAGTGCAATCTATCTAGGAAGGAAGGAGAGACAAAACAGGCTGAGTCTGACGGCCTGTGAGTGAAAGAAATACTTGCCTGTATCCATTTCATCAACACTGTTCAGGAAGTCATCCGGGGTCCGAGGGACACTGTAGCTACTCATGCTGAGGCCACTGTCTGTGCTCTCATCTCTAGAGTGATAGGTGCCACTGTGAAAACATTGACAAAGAGCACAGAAAGCTTTTATTCGATTCAGGGCAAAACTAAACATGTACCAGGCACGACTTTTCGCTGTAGCACCTCTTCCGGATGGACAACCTCTGTCCTACACTAGGACAGACACACTGATCCTAACTAGGACAGCTGTCAGGGGCACAAGAGGTTCTGAGCTTGGTGACAAGTTCCATCAACTATTTGAAGCTTGGGGCCTTCAAGGTCTCGAGCCCCCAGGCAGAGCGGTCAAAACCTACACTCAGGTGGGCAAGTCTGCATTAGACTTGAATTCCCAGCTCCCGAGGCAGAAAACTTAAGCCAATGAAAAGCCAAGCCCAAAGAAAGAACCAGAATGTCTTTGTGCCAAAACAGATGAGTCACTGAAGATAAGGGTTCCCACAGCGATCTTCTTGCTTCTGTTGGGGGAGGGGAACACCCAAACACTTCAGCACCAGATAAGAGGCCTGGCTTCAGAAGCGAAAGATCAACACAGCAAAGAGCCTTCGGGGGGGAACTAGGTGGGCGGGCGGGCGCCAACCCGCATTTTTACTTAAGGCTGAATGGAAAGTGTCAAGACTGCACTCAGGAACAGCAGAAAATAGCCTTGAACACTCTGCTAAGCAAGCGATGGCTGAGAACAGAGGCTGGTGTCAACCGGGAACCTAAATTCTACTAAACTAACAAGCCCAAAGAGGGTGGCTGCTAGTCCTCCTGGTCTGTGACCACAAACGTAGACTGAGCCCATCTCCTCATAAGGTGGGCATCCAAAGTGCTCGCTTGTTAAAAAAACCAAACAAAAACCAACCAACCAATCCCACCTCAGCTTCAAAAAAAGGAAAATAAGCTTTATTCCAAGCTTTCCCCTAACTGTTGAATGCATTTGCCCGTTCTCTCATCATTCTGTAGATGACAAACACTGGTTCATGCCGACGTTTATACAAACGTTATGGCAAAATTCACACACGGCCATGTGGGTCACTGAGGATGCCTGTTAGCTTTACTTTATGTAAAATATGTGTCCCCACACAGGACACACATCAGACAAGTGAGTCCATTACAGAGGAGATGGCTTTACAGTCGCTCAGAAGCCACAGGGGAAGCCCACTGTGACTGTGAGAGCTCATTCGGTTTTCTTGGCTACAGATGATCTCTACCAGACCCGTGCTAATGCTGAGCACCTAGGACACCTGACAGACAGCAGTTACGATGGTGGAACACTCTCCATGGAACCATGCACCTCATCTGTAGCAGCGGCTGTGACTGAAGGACCTGGCAGGCAAAGAGGAGGGTGCCTCTGAGAGACAGGTGGGTTCACCACAGGCCAGTGCGGGACGCCAGCTGTAGGTATGATTTATTAGCAAGCAACACACAAGACATCAAGAGTCTTTTAAAGAAAGAAAACTGTCATCCACGTGCATTTTGGAATCTGGGTACCTATTCTGGGACCTCAGCCTTTAGGAGCCCGAAATGAGGACGTAAGGCTGGAGACAGTCTGGGTTGTAGGCGCAGCTTTGCTGACACACAAAAGATTGACAGCACAGGGACTGAGCAGCCTGAGGAAACACGGGAAGATCTGCACTGACCTCACAGGCATGTCTGGGCGTCCACAGACCTTGCCAAAGGTCTGAAGACTATCTGTCAGGAAGGTGCGTAGCCCAGCCCTTCCCCTGCTTGATCTTATCCTCAGGGAAACCTTCACCAAAAAAACAGGACTTTTCTCCTGCTTCAGTTTAGCAGCACAGGCTTGCGTCAGTGCACGCGACTTCATATCAGAATTTAAATTCTGAATCTCTCTGTGCATGTTTTCAGACAGGTTGTCCTGGAACGTGTACTCAGCAACTGAACTCAACTCCTATGTCAGCCTCCCAAGTGCTGGGATACATCACTCCATTGCCTTTGAAAACAAACCCACCTGCCAGGCCAACTCCACAATTTGTCCCCACCCACCCAGCCAGACAGGGTTTCTCTGCAGCTTTAGAGGCTGTCTTAGACTTCACTTTGTACCTGCGTGTTGGTGGGCAGGGGGAGCTTTGTGAGTTCAAGTCTAGCCTGGTATACAGAGTTAGTTCCAGGACAGTCTCTAAAGCTATACAGAGAAACCCTGTCTCAAAAAACCAAAAAAGAACTCCCTTTGTAGACCAAGCTGGCCTCAAATTCAAAGGCACGTGCCACCACAATCTGGCTGAATTTATTTTCTTTTGACAAGATCTCACTATGCAGCCCTGTGTGTTCTCAAACTCACAGGAATCATCCCCATGCTTCTGCTGAAGTGAGGGTGTGCCAGACAAAAATCTACTCCAAGACCTCCAGGATGATGAAAAATTCAATTGCTCAAAATATTTTAATACGACAAAAGTACTTTTCATTAAAATGAAAACTTTTTTCCAATTTAACTTGTCCGAATTTAAAAGTTTCCCTAAGTCTTTTCGTTTTGTTCTTTTTGTTTGTTTGCTTCTTTGAGACAGGGTTTCTCTGTGTGGGCCTGGCTGTCCTGGAACTAGCTCTGTAGATCAGGTTGACCTCAAACTCAGAGATCCTCCTGCCTCTGCTGGGATTAAAAGCATGCACCACCACTGCCAGGCTCCCTAACCAATTTTACAAGTGTATTGCAAGCTGGGCATGATGGCTCATCTTGTAATCTTATCATGTTGGAGGGTGAGGTAGACTATCACTGATGCGGAAGAAAAAAGAAAGGAGCAGAAAAACAAAAAGGGAAAAATTTGTTGCTTAAAAGCATTATGGTCTAGCCCACAAAGTAATCTAATTTCTTTTAAAAAGCAAAATTAAAACAGCAGGGTAGGTTTTAAATATTAACTATACATGGTTTTCAAATAAAAAAAATACAGTTCTCAACAAAACAGTTTGTACAAACCCACTCCAAGTCCAGACCCTAAGTACCGTGGATTCGTTATGGGGCTCCTGTAAGCTGTGCAGTTTAAAATAATGCCAAAGTTTCTATTTTATCTCCTAATATGAGAGCCACGTGGAAAGTTCCAGCTGGGATGACCACTCCTTTCACAGGAAGGCATTCACATGCTTCTGCAAGCCTGCCATTTTAAGCAATGTTAGCATAGAATGTAGGCAGAAGCAAGCATGCTGGGCTTTGACCCAGATCCCTTCCACAAGCCTGAACAGTGCGCCTTCTCGTCCCAGGTGCGGCCCCGTTAACCCCCAGCTTTGCCTGCACTTGGCATTGGTGGAGAAGGTGACAGCTATGGGTTGTGGCTCACACAGACGTTCAAAACAGACAGACAGACACAGACACAGACACACAGGGCAGAACAAAGCCACCAGTGAGAACCCCCAGGTGCCAGCTACCGTTCCCACTAACCTGTTGAGAAAGGGGTCTGAACTATTGGTTGTCATTGTTCTCAGTTCCTGAGACATCCCGGGAGAAGACACGGCATTCTGAGTTCCTCCGTCCTGCTCCAGTGTGGGCAGCTGGCTTCGGAGAGCTAATTCCTTAAACAACAATGCATCGAGAATCAGTCTGCTGATTAACGGAGATGAAGCGCTACATAAGAGGGGAGATATAAACAGTGAAGGGGTCTAACATGCTAACATTTCCCCTACAGCTGACGTTTCCTAATTAGAATAACCAGATTCTTCTACACACTCCAAACGATTGGAAAGAAACTAAGCTGCAGACATGTCAGTTTGCCTAGTTGTACCAACTCCCAAACATGCATAATTAACATTAATGTTTCACTCTTCTTTATTCAAAAAGACCCCCAAACCCTTCCTGGCCTGAGACAATTATTCTTAGAGTTTGCCATTACTTACCAGTTCTCAATGGTTTGGGCCAGCAGTAAGAACAGAACAGAAAGAGCATTTGGTGATTTGTTGCCAGACACCAACCCTCCCCGCTGCCCAGCACGGTTTACACCCTGCCATCAAGCCTCCCTGACTTGGACTTCCCCCACAGAGCTGGGCAGAGCTGTGTCCTCTCCTGTGGGAGACATGTTTTCAGGGCTCCAACAGTACTCAGTAGAACCCTACCTGACCGGGAGATGCTTCAGAGTGTCCGGGCCAGGGCCTCTCTCCGATGCCTTCACTACTCTGCCCTGTTAACGGTGGCTGTGTATCCTATGCAACCACCAACCCCGCCCAACACGGGCTCCCCTCTGCCCACCTCTTAACTGACTTGCAATAATGGCCTTCTCTGAAAATCACAAAGCATACTGCCAGGACTCTGCAGTTGCTGTTAAGACACACCCTTCCCTTCAGCTCCTCCCACCCACCCCATCACTGTCCACCCAGGCCCAGAGAACCCTTTCTCTCCACAGCCACTTCCAGAATTTGTCCTCTCTGTAAACCCACCTTTAAAAAAAATCCAGATTTATTTACGCCCTCTGGCCATTTCCTTGTTTAAACTAGAGCGCCATAACTAGAGGCACCTGAGGATTCAGGTTTTGGAACTTGTATGGAGATGTGGGAGGGAAAGATCACCTTAAATTTTTGGTAAATTTGAATGTAAATTTTACATTTTCTTAATTATGAAGGACAGTATCCCTTGTAGTTCTGATTTTTGTCAGTATTTCCGTAACTCAGATTATTTCCACATTACTGATTACACATTATTGATTCAAATCTTAATGTACCATCTATATTCATTATTATAGAGCTCTAGGTCTTTTTATATATTATGAAAAGCTGTGTAATAAATTCCGATTGCTGATAAGCATTATTAATAAAACTTTCATTCCTTAGCCACCAGGGAAACGCAGATCAAAACTAGTTCAAGGCTGGGCAGTGGTGGCACACGCCTTTAATCCCAGCACTCGGGAGGCAGAGGCAGTCAGATCTCTGTGAGTTCAAGGCCAGCCTGGTCTACAGAGCTACTTCTAGGACAGTCTCCAAAAGCTGCACAGAAGCCCTGTCTTGAAAAACTAAAAAGAAAAAAACAGAACCCACAATCTGTTCAAATGACTACCAAGAAAAAAAACAAACGCTGAGGTAAGAAAGGAACCCTTAAATGCAGCTGGAGGGGGTGTATATTAGTGCAGCACAATGGAAATCAGCATAGGCACTAAAAACACAAGGAGACCGGAACAGCTGTGTCCCCCTGGACAAACAGAGGGAATGTGATTCCCAGAGACACTTGCACGGCTATGTTTATGCCGCATTACTTACAACAGCAGAGGCAGAAGTAACCCAGATGTGTAGATAAAGAAAACGCCATACACATGCACAATGACTTTATTCAGCCACGAAGGAAACACACGGAAGTGAAGGTCAATATATAGTAAAACAAGCCAGATGAGAGAGAGAGAGGGAGGGAGGGAGGAAAGGAGGGAGGGAGGTATCATACGGTTTCTCCCATTGAAAAATCTCAGTTAAAAAAAATGCACACCTGTATACAAAAAGGCATGGAAATGAAAGACAGGTTATTTGGCAGAGGTGACCAATGGAGAAAAAGACTTCTCTCTCTCTCTGTGTGTGTGTGTCTGTCTGTCTTCCTTATGCAGTATCTGCATATTCTCCAGTGGGTCAAGCATGTGTCCACTCTTTTCCCATTTCAACAAGGACCAAGGCCACCAGCCCCGTCTTAGGTGCTTCTTTCTGCCCTTCCCGAAGGCCAGCCTGCTTCCTTGGCAGTTCCAGTAATGACCCCCCACCCCTAGTTCTGTCCAACAGACTACCCTGAAAAGTGAGGCGTGGCACCTCTAATGGTGGTACGTTCTGCAGTTTCTCAAAATGTTTCCCAGGTGTGGCTCTAGATAAGACATGTCTTTCTTCCTGTTGTTCAGGGCTCATGGAAGGCAACACTTCTTCCATACAATTCCAATGATGATCCCATCTACATTTTCAGATTGGATTTTATAGGCCACGTTGTTAAAACCCTGAACACACAGCAAGCTCAAGATCATTCTGTATTTATCCCATGTTCTGCAAGGACAGAGTGAATAGGTTGTTTTATTGAATAACAATAGTAACACTGAATAATCTGTATTTCTGTGAAATGAAGACGCCCAGGGCTCTCTGATGAGCTGAGCGGGCAAGCTAGGCAGCACCCCAGATTCATTTTATCGGAGACATGCAGTGATATATTATTTATGATTTATTAAGGCTTGCCTGAGGGTACAGAAAACAAATTTATCGGAGACATGCAGTGATATATTATTTATGATTTATTAAGGCTTGCCTGAGGGTACAGAAAACAAAGCTAGCCACAAGCCATAGAGCCAGGCAGTGGTGGCACACACCTTTAATCCCAGGACTCAAGAGACAAGCAGATGCATCTCTGTGAGTTCCAGGCCACACTGAGCTACGCGAAACTGATCCTGTCCTAAAGAAACAGCTCTCACAAAGGCGGTGTGAGTACTTGGGATCACAAGCTTTAATCTCAGGGTTTGAGATGTGTACAAGGAAGAGGTAGCAGTCTGAGGGTTGGTGAGGAGACGCATTCTCCAGCCACACTGAGGAGGGGACAGGGTGAGGAGGGACAACCCTTTCAGCAGAGGTAGAGGAGAGCTAGTGACCAGTTGCTTTGCTTCTTTGACCTTCAGCTTGTTACAGAGACGTATTTCTGTCTGCCTTAGGCTTTGAATTTCTTTCAATAAACAGCAGCATTCCATAGCTGACAAACGGTTGACAGAAATAACTGTACTATGTTTGTGGTGGCATACACCTTGAATCCCAGCATTCAGGAGGCAGAGCTAAGTAGATCTCTGAAGATCCAGGCCAGCCGAGTCCACAAGAGTGGACAGCCAGGGCTACACAGAGAAACCCTGTCTCAGAAAACGTTAAAAACCAAATCAAAGCTAATCACCCTTATGATTTTATTGCTTTGAATTCTGTTGCTTTTCTGGTTTGTGGGACACGATTACTTCCCCTTCATTTAACAACTTAGTCTCTCCATCAGCCGATGCTGTAGACCCAAGGAACTCAACCTTCAGAAGAGTACCTGAGCCATAATCCAAAACTTAGCTAAAGTGAGCTTAAGAGGATCGATGAAAACAGGTACTGTGGGTGATGGGGTTGGCATTAGTTTGGCAAGAAACCAGAACCGAAGACATCGGCAGCACTCATACACGGATTACTGTCACCGTACACTTCCAGACCAGAACTGATTAGCCCCTAAGTAGTTCTGACACTGACCCACACACTGCGGGCCCATGCCTTCTAACTGTGCACGCAGTTCTGTTAAGTGCTGCTACCAACACCAATCAGCTGTTTCCTCCTCCTGCTGCTGCTCTCCTCTCCCATACTCAGCAAACACAGGACTGCATTTCTGCCATGCCCAGTTAGTACTTAAATCACACTTTGTATGAATGGACCCATATGGTATGTACTTTTTCATTTGGTGGACACACACACGCACACACCAACCCAGACATAAGCCAAGCGAGGTGGTGGTGCACACTTATAATTTCAGTTCCTAGAAGGCTGAGGCAGAAGGATTTTAAGTTCTAAATCCAGCCTGGGCTACAAGAATCCTGTCTCAAAATAAAAACTAGTATAAACCCCCACCTCCATTTTGGACTATTACTACTGTGCTCATCTTCAATTTTTAAAAGATGGTACTGTTTTTAATATGGAGCCACATACTACAGAAACCAGGATGGGAAATACAAGTCCATCTTGGGAAACAACAAACTGTTCCTTATGAACCACCATGGAAAACACCCTCAGACTAGGCTAGGACCACTGACTTTACTAACAGTGCAGTGCCAACTAACTCTAAACACTGTCCCAGATTAGTTGAGATTTACAGGCTCGCTGGGAAAAGCTACTGCATGTTTGAATTATTACAGAAGAAAATGCACTAAAAATACTTACTTGACTTAGAAGAAGTCAAATACTCTAGAAGAACTATGTGACCTTTGATACAGAGCAAAAGCCTGACTAGGCTCTGGCCAAATTTCTGACTTGCTTAGTTCCCCATTTCTGAAAGACTTCCACAAACTTTTCCAACTACCTTTGGGAAAAGAGAAGTTTAACAAACTCATATTTTTAGCTCAGCAGTCTAATTTTAGGCACTGTGTTCAAGATGAACTAATCCCCGAGCTCCTCAGAGATAGGAGCAACTTGCAACATCCAACGCTTCAGTGAAATCACTCTTGTAGACGATCCAATTATCCAGGCTTAAGCTAAAACAGCTCCACCACACTGACCCAGCTGAAGAATAATGGGTGTTTTCACTAACAAGTGTTTGTTTCTGTGCTGAGGACTAACTGGGGAAAGGCAAACACACTCCACCACTAAAGCTGCATTGCATCCCCAGCCAACATGCGTTTCATTGGACAGCTTACAAGGGCTCTTTCCTCTCCTTCAACATCTGACTAGGTAGAGCAGCGAGTAGGGTACATGCCCCAACTTCCGCTCATGTGCTGAGCGCGGCCTCAAGTCTTCTCCAAAACGCTTTGACGGCATGCAGAACGCTTTCTGTTAACACGTGTGTCATTTGCCTCAGTAATTAGGAAAGGCACGTGACCATGCAGAAGCCTGCACAGGTGACT